CTCCTCCTCCTCCTCCTCCTTCCTCCTCCTCCTCCTCCTGCTCCTTCCTCCTCCTCCTCCTCCTCCTCCTCCTCCTCCTCCTCCTGGCGGGCGTCCTCTCCGGGCGGGTCTCGCCCGCCGCGCTCCCCGGGGAGCCGCCGCGCGCCCGGGCCTCCGCCCGCCGCGCGGCAGGCCTCGCGCCAAGGGCGCCGCGAGCTCCCGGAGCCGCGCGCCGCCGCGGAGTGCGGACGCGCTGTGTCGCGACCCTCCTGCAGCGTCCCCAGACCTCCTGGCGTCGTAAAAAAAGCACGACGGGAGGTTTCTCGCTATTTTCGGCCCCTGGGGGCCCTCCCCGGGCCTCGGGAGCGTGAAAAAACGACTCAGGACGGAGAACCGGTCCCGGGGAAGTGGTCCAGACCTCTGGGGATCGACGTTGTGAAAAAATCACGACGTCGGGGGTCTGGGTCAAGCCGCCACCCAAAAAACAAAAGTCGGAGCGCCAGGTGCGCTCCGCCCGGGAAGCCGTGCGGTGCAGGCGACCGGCCACGAAGGGCGCCGCGAGGTGCATCCGCCGGAGAGCTTGTTGGAAGAACGAGAGCGGGGACGGACCAAGCGGTCAGTCGGGCCTGTCCCCCTACAGGGGGATTTTGTCGACGAGAAAAAAAGAATTACCCTGGCGACGTACCCAACCCCTGCGCAAACGCGGGGCGCAAATAGTTTAGGACACTTTATAAGGAGGGCGATGACGGAGCGAGGGTTACATATGTCTGCAGACGGAATTCGGGAGACTCGCAGGACACTGGCTACAGGACAAGGACTAGATAAAGCTGATTAGTTACAATCCCTGAGCAACCCTAGCCACTTCGAAAGCGGGGATCTCATATCGCAGCCCCCCAGGGATGGCGAGGTCTAAATTGGGTCCGCGCGTGGCGTCACTGTGCTGGGCCCCCCAGCAGGCCTCGAAAGTGGCGACAGTTTCACAGATCGCACCCCCCCAGGGATGGCGAGGTCTCATTTGAATCTGCCCGTGGCCCTCACTGTGCTGGGCCCCCCAGCAGGCCTCGAAAATGGCGACAGTTTCACAGATCGCAGCCCCCCAGGGATGGCGAGGTCTAATTTGGGTCCGCCCGTGGCGTCACTGTGCTGGGCCCCCCAGCAGGCCTCGAAAGTGGCGACAGTTTCACAGATCGCAGCCCCCCAGGGATGGCGAGGTCTAAGTTGGGTCCGCCCGTGGCGTCACTGTGCTGGGCCCCCCAGCAGGCTTCGAAAGTGGCGACAGTTTCACAGATCGCAGCCCCCCAGGGATGGCGAGGTCTAATTTGAATCCGCGCGTGGCGTCACTGTGCTGGGCCCCCCCAGCAGGCCTCGAAAGTAGCGACAGTCTCAAAGATCGCAGCCCCCCAGGGATGGCGAGGTCTAATTTGAACCCGCCCGTGGCGTCACTGTGCTGGGCCCCCCAGCAGGCCTCGAAAGTGGCGACAGTTTCACAGATCGCAGCCCCCCAGGGATGGCGAGGTCTAATTTGAATCCGCCCGTGGCGTCACTGTGCTGGGCCCCCCAGCAGGCCTCGAAAGTGGCGACAATTTCACAGATCGCAGCCCCCCAGGGATGGCGAGGTCTAACTTGAATCCGCCCGTGGCGTCACTGTGCTGGGCCCCCCAGCAGGCCTCGAAAGTGGCGACAGTTTCACAGATCGCAGCCCCCCAGGGATGGCGATGTTTAATTTGAATCCGCGCGTGGCCCTCACTGTGCTGGCCCCCCCAACAGGCCTCGAAAGTGGCGACAGTTTTGCAGATCGCAGCCCCCCAGGGATGGCGAGGTCTAATTTGGGTCCGCCCGTGGCGTCACTGTGCTGGGCCCCCCAGCAGGCCTCGAAATCGGCGACAGTTTCACAAATCGCAGCCCCCCAGGGATGGCGAGGTCTAATTTGGGTCCGCCCGTGGCGTCACTGTGCTGGCCCCCCCAGCAGGCCTCGAAAGTGGCGACAGTTTCACAGATCGCAGCCCCCCAGGAATGGCGAGGTCTAATTTGGGTCCGCCCGTGGCGTCACTGTGCTGGGCCCCCCAGCAGGCCTCGAAAGTGGCGACAGTTTCACAGATCGCAGCCCCCCAGGGATGGCGAGGTCCCATTTGAATCCGCCGCGGGTGCACACTGTGCTGGGCCCCCCAGCAGGCCTCGAAAGTGGCGACAGTTTCACGGATCGCAGCCCCCCAGGGATGGCGAGGTCCAATTTGAGTCCGCCGTGGGTACCCACTGTGCTGGGCCCCCCAGCAGGCCTCGAAAGTGGCGACAGTTTCACAGATCGCAGCCCCCCAGGGATGGCGAGGTCCCATTTGAGTCTGCCGTGAGTACCCACTGTGCTGGGCCCCCCAGCAGGCATCGAAAGTGGCGACAGTTTCACAGATCGCAGCCCCCCAGGGATGGCGAGGTCCCAATTGAATCCGCCGTGGGTGCACACTGTGCTGGGCCCCCCAGCAGGCCTCGAAAGTGGCGACAGTTTCACAGATCGCAGCCCCCCAGGGATGGCGAGGTCTAATTTGGGTCCGCGCGTGGCGTCACTGTGCTGGGCCCCCCAGCAGGCCTCGAAAGTGGCGACAGTTTTACAGATCGCAGCCCCCCAGGGATGGCGAGGTCTAAATTCAGCCTGCGGTGAGTACCCACTGTGCTGGGCCCCCCAGCAGGCCTCGAAAGTGGCGACAGTTTCACAGATCGCAGCCCCCCAGGGATGGCGAGGTCTAATTTGAATCTGCGCGTCGCCCTCACTGTACTGGGCCCCCCGGCAGGCCTCGAAAATGGCGACAGTTTCACAGATCGCAGCCCCCCGCAGGCAAGACAGGAAGAGGCAGGGAGGGAGGAGGAGGAGGAAGGAAGGAGTGGAGACCACACTGCTCTATTCAAAACGAATACCCAACCAAGGAGGGTTGGGAAATACCCCAAACATAATCCAAAAATGGTCCGGGTACTATTTTGTGAATATCTGTTTGGCCATTTTGGTGCATGCTTGGGGTATTTTTTGATTTTTCCTCGAAGATCCCCCTGTAGGGGGACAGGCCCGACCGAAACCAAGCGCACGGCCGCCCTCCCAGACCCCCAACGTCGTGTGCTTTTTTCGCAACGTCGACCCCCAGAGGTCTGGACCCCTTTCCCTGACTCCGGATCCGCCCTACTTTGGGGAAATTCGTAAGTAGGGCCTGGAATTTCCGCCTTACTTTTCAAGCCCCGCTGATGCCAATTTCCGCCCTACTTTCCTGTTGCTGTCTCCGCCCTGCTTCTGTGGATTTCCGCCCTACTTTGTGTTGGGTGCAGAAATCTCCGCCCTACTTCTTCGGCTTCTTATAGGTGGATTTCCGACGCAGTTTTTCGAGCCGTTTTTTGACGGCCCCGGGGCCCGGGAAGGGCCCCCGGGGGGCGAGGGTAGCGAAAAGCCCGCCGTGGTTTGCTCATAGCGCGAGGGGGCCTGGGTTGCGCTCCATGAGGGACGACGTTAGGTGAGGGGGTCCTCCTCCTCCTCCTCCTCCTCCTCCTCCTCCTCCTCCTCCTCCTCCGCCTGATCCTCCTCCTCCTCCTCCTCCTCCTCCTCCTCCTCCTCCGCATGATCCTCCTCCTCCTCCTCCTCCTCCTCCGCGAGCGTGCGGAGCGTTCCGCCGTGAGGGAGCCCGGCTTTCAAAGGGATCCCGGCTCTCCCGCGCGCGCCGATCACTCGCCACCAGATCGGTCGGTTCTCCGGGCCACCGTCGGCGTCGAGTCTTGGACGCCCGCACGGGGATCGCCGCTACGCGTCGGCACGGCGCAACCCCACCGCAGGAGTACAGCTCCTCCTCCCCTCTCCCCCTCCCCCCTCCCCTCCTCCCCTCCTCCTTCCTCTCCTTCCGGCCTCCTCCTCCTCCTCCTCCTCCTCCCATCTCGCTCCAAATTATACGCAATATTGAAAACGAGAACCACGCGCGCGCTTCGCGCGCGCATAGGTTCTAGTTTGCTCCGAAAACGGTGTTCGCAAGCACGGGTCCGATTCCGTGGCGATTCGCGGGAAATCTACGTCCGAAAATGACGTGTTGCCAGAGGCAGGTCCGCGGATGCTTTAATGCAACGTGTCCAGTGTATCCAACAATTTCATACTTGTTACATATGCTACATATTGTATTGTTCTGCAATATTATGCCCCCCTCCCTTGGAGCCGCGCCACATCGTCGGACCAAATCTGGAAGGCCTCATTCTGGGCCTCAAAACATAGAAAGACCTATGGAAAATCAACAATTTCGGCCTCTTGGGCATCTTGGGACTCCAAGAGGGCCTCAAGATGGCCGACGATGGCCCCAAGACAGCCCAAGACGGCCTCAAGACGGCCCAAAATGGCCCCAAGAGGGCCCATGAGGCTCCCAAGAAGATCCACGAGAGCACTCAAACCCGAACAATCTTTCCATGACACCCTCACCCTTAGACCGAACCTTGGGGGGGAGGGGGAAAGACGAAGGACGAGCCCGAAAAGCGAAACCCGAACGCTCAAACATCTAAATGGAAGAGGCTCATCTCCGTCCCACCGTTTTCCTCCTTCCTTCTGAATCCTTCCTTCTTCCACTTGCTCAAACTCCTCCTCCTCCTCATCCTACCTCCTCCTCATTCCTCATTCGCCCGGTTCGGCTGTCCCACCTCCTCCTCCCTTCATCCTCCCTCCTCCTCTAATCCTCCTTTTCTCCTCCTTCTCCCCTCCTTCCTCCTCCTCCTCCCCCTCCTCCTCCTCCTTCTCCTCCTTCTCCCCTCATCCTCCCAATCCTCCTTTCCTCCTCCCTCCTCCACCTCTTCCTCCTCCTCTCTCCCCGTCCTCCCCCTCCCTCCTGCTCCTCATCCCTCCTCCTCCCACCGTCCCGGCAGACTCCATGCATTGACGTTCGTGCGAGGCCTCATTCCCAAGCTTGTCTTGGGGCGCCCTTGGGTGCCTCTTGGGGCTTTTGGAATAAGTTGGATACGTGGTACGAAAGGAATGGAGTAAGTTTTGGCTCCCGGGGCCCTTTTGGAAGGCTTCTTGGAGCCTTCTTGGGGCGTCTTGACGGCCTCGTGGCCCTTCTGGAGGCCATGTTGGGCCGTATCGGAGCGCTCCGGGGGCCCTCTCGGGGCGACCGGGAAGTCTCTTGGGCCATCTTGGGCGGACTGGGAGGCCCGGGGGCCGCCCGAGGAGCGTCCCTGGAAGCCCTCCTAGGCCCTCTTAGCGCTGTCCTCAGGCGTCCTGGGGCGTCCTTGGGCGCCTCCTGGGGCTGTCTGACAACTCGGACAGCCAAGGGATGAGATATCCTAAAAATGTACGTTTTACGAAGGGAATGGGGCCATTTTGGTTTCCCGGGGCGCTCTTGGGGGGCCTCTTGGAGGCCTCTTGGGGCGGTTTGATGGCCTCTGGTCCCTTCTGGAAGCGATCTTTGGCGGTCTTGAAGCGATCCTGGGCTTCTCTCGGCGCTCTTGGAGCCTTCTTTGGCGGACTGGGAGGCCCGGGGGCCGCCCGAGGAGCGTCCCGGGAGGCCTTCCTGGGCTGTCTTCGGGCTATCCTAGGGCGCCTCGTGGGGCTTTCGGACCGCTCCGACAGCCAAGGGAGCTGATATCCTAAAAATGTACGTTTTACGGAGGGAATGGGGCCATTTTGGTCTCCCGGGGCGCTCTTGGGAGGCCTCTTGGAGGCCTTTTGGGGCGGTTTGATGGCGTCTTGGCCCTTCTGGAAGCGATCTTTTCCGGTCTTGAAGCGATCCTGGGGTTCTCTCGGCGCTCTTGGAGCCTTCTTGGGCGGACTGGGCAGCCCGGGGGCCGCCGGAGGAGCGTCCCGGGAGGCCCTCCAGGGCCGTCTTGGGGCTGTCCTCAGTCGTCCTGGAGCGTCCTTGGGCGCCTCGTGGGGCTTTCTGGCCGCTCCGACAGCTAAGGGAGCTGATATCGTAAAAATTTACGTTTTACGAAGGGAATGGGGCCATTTTGGTCTCCCGGGGCGCTCGTGGGGGCCTCTTGAAGGCCTCTTGGGGCGGTTTGAGCGCCTCTTGACCCTTCTGGAAGCGATCTTTGGCGGTCTTGAAGCGATCCTGGGGTTCTCTCGGCGCTCCTGGAGCCCTCTTGGGCGGGCTGGAACGCGCGAGGGCCGCCGGAAGGGCGCCCCGGGAGAGGGCCGCACCCTATATACAAGGGAGGTTCCGGCCCGGGGCCCGGGGACCGGGATCTCCCATATATGTATATATATATATATATATATATATATATATATATACTCTCCCACTTCCCCTGATGGCGTCCCGAAGATATCCGACCCCCCCCCGCGTACTGTTTCTTACACACAGGATTCCTGGGAAACGGGTTTTCGCCTGCGTTTTTTTCAAAATGCTGCTCTCGCTGAGGCGCCGGCCTCATTTCTGCTCCCGGATCGTTCCGAATCGTGCTCCCGCTGCAGCGTGGGCCTCATTTTCGGATCGGTGTTTGGCCTCCGTCGTTCAGGATGGCGTTCTCGCCCCAGCGCGGGCCTCTTTCTCGCGCGCCCATCCGCCCGCCACCACCGCGCCGCACCACCACCACCACCAGCACCAGCACCAGCACCAGCTCTACCACCACAACCACGCACACACGCACGCACGCACGCACGCGCACCACCACCCACTACGCACGCGCGCGCGGAGCCACAGGTCCGCTACGACACGCGTCCGCGGATAGAGAAAATCCGCGCCATGGTAAGGGATGGGAGGGAGGGGTAGGACGTCAGATATGACGCGAGCGCACCTAGCTTGTCCTCCTCCCCCTCCCCCTCCTCCCCCTCCCCCTCCTCCTCCTCCTCCTCCTCCTACTCCTCCTCCTCCTCCTCCATTACAGTCCGACTTGACTGGAGAGGACACGAGAGAGGACAAAAGGCCCTTGCGAGGGCCACACTGCCACGGGAATGCAGGCGGCATGGGTCGCGAGGCACAGGACACAAGCTTGTACCCTTGATTTGGCAGGGTCGACCTACTAGTCCGGGCCGACTGTGAGTCGGGAGCTGCCAAGAGGGGGGTGTCCAAGAGGGGGGGTGCAAATCATGGCCGGCGGCATGTGAAAGGCCCAGGTTGGGGCCCAGGGACGTAATGAGATAAGAAGAGGCGCCCTGAAATCTGGGGAAATATCATGGCCCACGCGATGATATCCACCCCCCCCTAGTCATCACCCCCTTTGCCGCCCCCGAGTAAGGCCAGGGGCAGCGATGGCGGGGACAGGGGGGGGGGGGGGAAGCATCGACCTGGCATCGGCGATACGTCGCCGATGGAGAATAGATCGGCGGCAGGCCGCCCATGGTGAATCCGCACGCTCCTGGGCAGGCTGGGGCTATCGGGCCCCCATCGGCGATCAATGGGCGATTGGGGGTCGATGCGTCCCCTCTATGCCCATTCCCCCCATACCGTTGCCCCAGAGACCCAGACATCTGGCCGCTTCAACTTTTTTGGAGAGTGGACCCCGGAGGTCCGGACCACTTCCCCGGGACCGGTTTTCCGTCCCGAATCGCTTGTTGACACCCCCGGAGGCCGAAAAAGGCCAAAAGCCGCCCGCTCCAATTTTTTTGGAGCGTCTCGGATCTCAGGGTCGTTGCCCCAGAGAAGAGGAGGGGGACGGCAGAGAGACCGCAAGCGCTGCGCAGGCGTCAGACGTCGAGGACGTTCTTGCAGGCGCTGCTCACGGTGGCCGCCTCTGCGTGGTCATCCTCGCCGAGGAGCCCCCCTACGATATAGCCCGCGTGCCTGCGGTACGGGGGTGGCTCTCTTGGATCGGCGGCGAGCGAGGAGGAGGAGGAGGAGGAGGAGGAGGAGGAGGAGGAGGAGGAGGAGCGAGGAGGAGGAGGAGCGATCGTCCCTGGGAGGAAGAGGAGGAGGAGCAGGTGGCAGGAGGAGGAGGAGGAGGAGAGGTGGAGGAGGAAGAGGAGGAGGAGCAGGAGGAGGAGGAGGAGGAGAAGGAGGAGGAGAGGGAGAGGAGGAGGAGGAGGCGGAGGAGGAGGAGGGGAGGAGGAGCGAGGACGAGGAGGAGGAGGAGGAGAAGAGCGGAGGAGGGAGTAAGCAGGAGGAGGAGGGGAGGAGGAGAGGAGAGGAGGAGGAGGAGGAGGAGGATGCGAAGGTCCTCTGAGAGGCGGAGGAGGGGAGGAGGAGGTAGGAGAGGAGGAGAGGAGGTGGAGAAGGAGGGAAGAGGAGGAGGAGGAGGAGGGGGAGGAGGAGGAGGAGGAGGAGGAGGAGGAGGGGAGGAGGAGGAGGAGGAGGAAGAGGAGGAGGAGGAGGAGGAGGAGGACGAGGAGGAGGAGGAGGAGGAGGAAGAGGAGGAGCGAGCGTCATTGGGAGGAGGAGGAGAGGAGGACGAGGAGGAGGAGGCGGAGGCGGAGGAGGAGGAGGAGGAGGTGGAGGAGAAGGAGGAGGATTTTGACATCCACGGCCAAAGACCCACGTGACTGGGCAAAGAGGTCGGCAGGAGCGAAAACCGCTCATGCCCGACACAGCGCCTTCGACACTATTAGTCAGAGCCAGACTCCTCACCCTCCTCCACAACGGGGGATGACGTTGCCTGGCAACTGGCGATCGGGCGGGCGCCAGAACGCAGAGACCCTCTCTCACACGAGGGGGCGGTGGCCACGGCTCCCGGCCTACAGGCGAAGCTCGTGGCCTCTGCGTTAAGAAACAGAGAGGCCTCCTCTTCTGCATCAAAATCGAGGCCGTCCGCGAGAGGCGGAGGCGGAGCGACCGAATCCAGACTCCCTCCCGGCCCACGCCGCTCACCCCCCACTCCCCCTTCCACAGGCAGGCGAGGCGGAGCAGGGGCAGCTGTACCAGCCTCAGCTGGGACGCCGCCGACCGCGAGCGCCGCTGTCGGCGACGACCTACCGATCGGCAGGATCTTCTCGAGGTCGGCGTGGACCCCCTTCTTCTTGTGATCAGGGTGAAGTCCTCGGCCCAATCTTGACCACACCTCGCTGCGCTTCGGAGGGTGGTCCAGGCATTGCTCGGCAAGTCCTCGAAGCTGCACTCCCGAGGTAAAACAATGGCAGGACTGGCAGACGCACGCAAAGCTGCCGTCCGAGAAATCTACCACAACGCAGCGGTGACCCAACTGGCGGAGCGACGAAGGGTCCACCTTCAGCACTCTGCTGCAGCCGCCAGCGGAGGGCTTCGAGCTGCTGCGAGGGACTCGGAGGCAGAGGGTGCGCTGCCAGCAGCTACCTACCCGTATCCACTCGTGGACGGGCCCCGTTGGCCTCGGAGGCCGAGCGGCAGCTGGTGCGCGCTCGACTCCAGACAGGTCTGTGCGAGGCCATAAACACAAAACTTTGGCAGCAAGCTTGGTGACAGCCCGCGATACTTTGATCAAAAGAGAAGCCGTCGCGCGCTTCGTCACACAACTCGGGGTGCAGGTGCGCTCCAGCCTTAGATGCCTCATCAGCGGCATTGTTGCCAATGATGTGGATGCGCTCAGCTGCAGGCAAATCTGCGTCGTCCTCCTGGTGTGCCTTCACCTTCGTGACGGAGCGGACCATGCTGCCTGCGAAAAAATCACTCTGCATGACGAGACCACTGTATGGGCGCCGCAAGGACAGTCTCTCTTCGCGGCTCTTGCCGTGCTGGTTCACAACCACCTGGCAATCGCTAAAAAACTCGGCTGGGCCACTGAGCGCGCTGGCTGCAGAAGTAGGGGCTGCAAGTTCAGCCGCCACGCTCGTCTGGGGGAAATAACTGCCAAGGGCCCCACACATGCGCGCAAGGACATGTCCCGCTTCTCCGACCATAGCCGCACCCCAACCAGATCTGGACACATCCTTGATCGCACGTCGAGTGCACGAGCCAGCCAGGTAACTAGCCCCACTCATGGCCCTCCCCCTCACGGGCGGAAGTTCTAAGCCTTCGGCCTCGTAGGCCTCGGGGTAGGTCTGGAAAACCACGGTTTCCAACGCCTCCTCGAGGTTCATGGGCCCTGGGAGGTTCACGGCGGG